TTCTCTCTCTCAAAGCAATAAATAGCTATGCTTGGGGGGAAATAACAAACAGATTTTATTTTTTCGTACCTTCCCATGTTTCCTGGCCAGCTCCAGGTGCCAGCGTATTGTTGTAACTCTGATGGGGATTCAGCATTGAGCTGTGAACAATTAAACATAAACACCAGCCTCACTCCCATCCTCTTCTTTCCTTCTTAGGTGAAGGCAGCTTCCAAGTATGTGGATGTACCTGTGAGTATATGCAAATTGCCTTGGTGGGTTTGGTGGGTTTTTTGTTTGTTTGTTTACTTGCGGGGTTTTGTCTTGTTTTGCTTTGCTTTTATGAGAAGTTTGATGGTGCTGTTTTCATTAGTCGCTGCTAAATTGTGTATCTTCCTGAACTGAATCACCAGAGCGGGGAGGCCATGAACATTTCCTGGTAAAACTGTATCAGATGAGAAGAGGGCACGGCTTCTTTCGTCAGGGAGACGGGTCCTGTTTGAGGGTAACCCCAGTTTGCTCTCGTTTTTATTTTCATTAGTTTCTCTGACATATTTCAGTCTGTGGCCACTCACCTCCCCGCTGCACGCGCCCCTTGGAAGTAGAGTCATGACCTAGAAACGTGCACAGGGTGCCGGTATGTTTTAAAAACAAATAAATTCTGAATTTGTTCATTTTGGGGTCAAGGCTGCAATTGTTTTAAGGAAACCTTCCCAAACTGTGTGTGATTAGTGCAGACCTCGTTAATGAAGAGAGCTCTCCAAGTTCACAGCCGAAGCACTTGAAGGTGCCCAGGATTTACATTTAAATTGAGGTTAAGTACGCACATGGAGGCAAGAGCGTGGGATTACCTGTGATGAGCAGGACACGTTGGTAGGCGGACTCTGCCCTGCCTATTAGCAAAATAAAATTGCAGCGATTTCAGCATATGCCAATGAAGGGGAAGGCAAGTGATTCTGCATCTCCGTTTCTAACAAAAGAGGTGGGAGTCTCTTATAAAATATTAAATTTAGAGAGCTTATCTCAACAGCCACCAAGGGTCTCGGACTGAATGTTTCTCATTCTGAACGTGGTTAAGTGCCCTCCTTGTTCAAATACTTCTTTGTTAAAATTTGTGTTTCTCTAAAGGGATTTATATTAACATTTAAATTCATTTCCCCAGGAAGTTGAGTGTGTAATGGTTTATTGGCTTATTTCTCACAGGAAGGCAAAATGGAAAATTGGAGTGAATTTGGCATTAGCATATATTGTTTGTTTAATGAGAGAATGTACAATCAATAATTGTGCTTTGAATTTATATAATATTTCTCATCGAGGGACCTCAGGCTCCTTCACAGAGATAATCCTTACGATGAGGGAGAGAAACGCTAAGCAATTTATTTTCCCTAGCCCCAAACTATCAACTTTCAGTTCACAGGGAGCAAAGTACTCACATTCTCTGGGCCTGTTTCTCCATCCTTAAAATAGGGATAGTAGTACTCAAGACAGGGGTCTGCTGTGCAGCTTAAATGGCACACGTGTGTGGGACCCTGGGCACCAGGCCTGGCCCTCATCAGACATTTCAGCTGCAGGAGCAGGGCACGTGGTGGGGGTGGGGGTGGGCGGGTGAGGCCCACAATCCAGTTCGGGAGGGTGGGCGTGGGGGCTGGATTTGCTGGCTTTAGCTCTGGCCTGCCGTGGTCTTCAACAGTAATAGAAACTGGAATTCTCGGCGTGTGACTCAAAGATCTGGTGGCTGAGGTTTGTTTTCTGTCGGCCTCAAAGAAGAGGGAAGATCACACCAGCGAGGGTAGAACAGGTGAGGAGTAGGCAAGGCCCAAATACGCAGAGAAATTTGGTCGGGCAACTCAAATTAACATTTGGGGGAGGTCAGAAAAGTCAAAAACTGGCGATTTCCTGTGGTTCAGACTGACGGTAAAGTTGAGGGAAAATGCACAGCAAAAGTGCCCTGCTCTGTAGCCATCCCATGTCCAGGGATGGGTTATGCTAACAGCAGAAGCCTCGCTGGGCTCTGGGGGAACCAAAAGAATTAGTCGAGTCTCCGCCCCCTAGGGAGGCATTAGAAAATGAAGCAGCATGTCCCCAAATGTGGCACGCTTCCCAATGATGATGACAACTGCAGCCAAACCTTTTAAAGCACCCACTCTGCGCTGGGCACCCTTCAAAGCACTTTACTTTTAATCTTGATAACAACCCCACTTTAAAGATGAGGAAACTGAGGCCCAGAGAGGCTCCCTTCCTTAGGGTCCCACAGCTGCTAAGTGGGGGAGCGGAAATTTCAAGCAGTGCTCTCAACACTGTGCACCTGCCAGCTGGTTTCAGTGAGTGGGCAGATGAACATCTTTATTTGGTTAATTGAGTAATTACTGTACTTCAGTGTTGGAAAAACTAAAAATCATGCAGATTTTACCAATTATTATGGCTTAGAAAAAAAGATAAACTTTAAAATTAAGTTGATTGAAGTGTGCAAAGCAAATACTATTATAGTGATAGTGTAAATTACCATAATATAGTAACAATAGTATTACAATAATTATATAGCAATAATAGTATAAGTAATGTTTTGATAAACAATTTTAGAGAAAATAACAGTGTATAGAAGACATATTCTATATGTACATTGTTTACATGTAGTGAATAATAGTGATCATTTACTTCTCAAAACCACCCTCCGAGGGGTGATGTTTTCATCCTGTTCCACAACTGAGGAGAGGAGGGAAGTGAGTTGCATGCCCAGGGCCTCCCGGCCAGTAAGCAGGAGCGTGAACGGTCAGGTGCTCGCCCTTTGACTAAGTGGAGGGAGCCTGCTGGCACTGGCTCCCATGAAAGAGCCAACTGTGTGCGTTTCTTTCCAACTCTGTCTTCGATGAGGGCACATTAGCAGCACCAACTGGGCCATGGGGACAGTATTTACACCATGGAAATTGGCAAGCACTACAAATCAAGGTCGGTTGTTTGTGTTGTTTGGTTTTGTTGTTTTAAAGAGCCAGTTTACCAGCACACCAGCAGCCATTGCCTATTGAATTGGTGGTCCCCAAACCAGAATGTGCAGCACTAATACTTGGCAAGGATTTTGGTCTTGTCTTGTTTTGTTTTCTAATAGAGATTTCTAGCCCCTCGTCTCCAGAGATGCTGACTCAGTGGTTCTGGGATGGAGCCTGGAAGTCTCTTTCTCAAGCTCTCCACGTGATTCTGATAGGCAGGTCCAAGTTTGGGACCCAATGGGCTCCACCAGTGATTCGCCACCTTGCCTACATATTGGAAACACCTGGGGAGCTTTTTACACCCATTAGTGCCAGGTCGCTTGCCAAATTAAAACCATCTCTGGGGTGTGGGGTCCAGGCATCGGTGTTTTTAAAGCTCCCAGGTCCTTATCATCTGTAGCCGACTTAACAACTATTGGATAAAATCATCTTTCAAGTTGTTTCTAGCTCTGAAGACTGAGTTCATTTGTGTTGCTCTGTGAGGTTGGCACGTGGTTCGCTGGTTTAGTTCTATGTGGGAATTAGTAGTTAGTTACCTTAGAGACCTGTCTCTTAATTATCCACATTAATGGAGAGAAGCATTATTGCCAGTCATTGCAAACGTGGCATAAACCCCAAAGCATCTCTTTGTCTTAGATGAAGTATTCGAACATGGTATACGTAGCAAGTTTGCATTCCCAACTAGGGCTTGCTAAGGGTCCTGAAGAATCTGAATTTGTTTTTCTCAAACTCAGAAGTATCCTGGTAGGAACAAACTCTGATTTAAATGCCTTATTTTTTCTAAGCTACAGAGTGGATCCTTCGCAATGATATCTTCCACACGTGGATGGAGTTAACTACACAGAGATGAATGTATTTGTTGCTTATTTCATGTCCAAGCCACGTTTAAAATAAGCACTGTAATTGTGGGGTATTAAAACCATTGCCTAGCGTTTTCCCCACTGTTTGTAGATAGCAATGTGGTATCAAGCCTAATTTCTCTAATAGCATCGGTTGTTTAGCCAAGAGAAATTTCCATCTATAATTACAAGTTAGCTTGTTTGTGTGTAAACAGTTTTTATTTTAACCATTTGGTTGGAAATCTACTTAAAATGCATTACGCATCCTCCCCTGCCGTTTTAAATAGGGAACTGGCCATACTTCAACGCTTCCTCCATGACAGAGGATCACCACGGTGACTGTGACTCCCAGGGCCCCTGAGGGGTAGGGTAGCTTGCCTCTCCCAGACCCCAGCTGGTGGTGACCCTACATGTGTGGAGCTACCGTTTGGCAGCCTTTTCCCCCATACAGGGCACCAGGGAAAGCAGTAGTTCTCTATTACCAACTCACCCCTTGCTGGCCACCAACGGGATGGAAAGCAAACTCCTGGGAACTGGATGGAAAGCTGGTTAGAAAGGAAGATGGTTGTGAGTGGGGGCCTGAGGACTCGATTAAAAGAAAACTACACATTTTCCTGCAGAGATTTTGTCATTTTTATTTTGATGGTGGTTTCTCTGAGGCCCTTTTTTCTTCTTCTTGGTTCCAAAGTAGATTATAAAGGTAGGTAAGGCTATGAAATAATATAACATTCGGGGGCTCGATGTTTATATAGTAATATATGGCTTTTAAAGCACTTGAACATACTTTATTTTAGCTGATAATCATAATAATGTTTAAGATAAGTAGGGAGTTTTAATCCCGTTTTACAGATGGTATAACTAAGGCCCGGAGAAATTTAAATGATTTCCACAAGTTTCCATTTGTGGGGGGTCCAATAAAAAGCCCTCACTTAACGTCATCAATAGGTTCTTGGAAACTGTGACTTTAAGTAAAATGACAAATAACTAAATGACAAAAAAACTAACAAAACCGATTTTAGCATGGCTAGTGGACATCAACAAGAGTCAAGTTCCTGGGGCATCTTGTCACCGTTATAACAGAAAGACATGGAAGGAAACAACGTTAGTGGAGGACCTGCCATAGAGAGACTGCGAGCTTTGGAAAGGAGGTGGAAGGGACTTATTTATTCATGGATTTGTTCATTCAGCAAACATTTACCAAGCACCTACTGTGTGCCAGGCATCCAACTATGTGCTGAGGATACAGTAGAAAATAGAGCAAATAAAGTCCCTGTAGTCATGGATTTTAGGTTCTAGTTGTCCAAGACAGGCAAAAGACAGTAACTAAATACATAGTACAATGTCAGATATTGGTAAGTGCTATGAAGGACAACTAAACACAGTCAAGAAATAGAGAATTATGGAGTTTCTTAACTACCTGGGGAGATGAATCATCCTGTGTGGGGTTTTTTAATCAAACTTTTTAAAACTTAAATGCCCCTTTGAGGATAACAAATGTGGTGAAAATACCAATTACTGTGGATTGCTGTTTCTATCACTGAGGGTCACTAATCTGTCTGCAGGCTGTGGCTTTGGGTCTTAGCTCTACTGTGGCTGCATGTGTCCTGGAAAAGGCCATGTCTGCCACTAGCAGCACCAGGAAAAGAATGGAAACAGTAATAATAAGTTTCTCAGATCCCCCAGGTAGGGGTCCCTATACCCACGGAGATGCCTTTTGATACTGCCACAGGGAGAGGAGGGGAGAGGTGCCTTGAGAACGGAGAGCTATCACTTCCATCTCATTGGAGACCTCTATTGTTTGCTATCATGAAACTGCCGCAATTATAGGCCCGTCACAGAACCTGCTCAATCCATCCCATGAAAATTGCTTGAAAGTGTAACAGTTGACTGCTGTGGCTTTGGGTTGTCTTCATTGTTTTTCAAATTAATACCTTGTCATTGTTTCAGCAGGTGTTAAGAAATGTTACTAGCATCCCAGGGGCCAAGCATTGGCCCTTTGCTTGATAATTGTTTGCTTTGTATTTGAAAAAATATACAGTCCTACTGTTTCCAAACCTTCCTCATTTTCACCCTGGAAATTACACAGAAGTGTTAACTAACTTCAATTTGCAGTGCTTGACAGTCCCGTCTTGTAGGGAAATGATACTTTGTGATCTAAGGTAAATCACAGTAATGAAAGCTAATCTTTTTAGTTATTAGCAAACATACATATCTGCTGTGGAAATTTAAGGGGTTTGTGGCAGCTCTCCTAATGACCCATATTACAGTGTTTTAATAGGTTTCTTTGGAGATAACTTTGATTACGACATGTCAAGCAGTGTGCATTCTGAGTTTCTTTTTTTTTTTCTTACAATAAATCATTTCCTATACTGTACTGTATGAACCACCTGCTTACCTTTCCAGAAAATCTAATTTATTTAAAAATCAAATCCTTTGCCCCTGCCTTTTTTTTTTTTTTTAATCCTTGGACTATAAGCTGCACCCTGGAGCAAAGACAAATGATTGAATGTCTCCTGAGTAAACTGATGAGGAAATACTACATACTCCAGTTAAATTACCCCCCAAATGTGACTTGGATGGGTGGAAGGGGTATAGATTGAACTCTGATTTCTTTACTTAGCACTTTCTTAATGTTTTTAAAAGGAACGGGGGCGGGAAGGCTGTCACCTTTCTGACGTTACAGTAAGGAAAGACCATGCAAGACAGAGTATATGTGGGTATTTTTTAAAGGGGAAGAGGGTTCAATCCCCCCCCAAAAAAGCCAGGTAATGTCTCTGGGTTACCCAGTGAATATTTATTCATTAGAGTATCTTTGCCAGGAAAAAAAAAATTAATAGTAGAAAAATATGTATAAAACCCTGTAATCCCAACTCCCTTCTTAGCCAGGTGTGATTTCCAGAAAGTGCAGAGGGCTCAAATACCCATTCTGGCCAGTTCGGGCTGTGAACAGCTGTGACATACACCACGGAGAGCTTGGAACTCCTGCAAGAGGGAGCGGGGAGGAGAGAGGAAAATACAGGGGTGAATTCCACTTTCATGTTCTCCTGTTTCTTTGCAGAAACCCGGGATGGATGTGGCCGATGCCTACGTGACTTTCGTCCGCCACTCTCAGGATGTCCTTCGTGATAAGGTCAATGAGGAGATGTACATAGAAAGGTTATTTGATGTAAGTAAATGCCTTCTCCTCCTTGCAGACCAAGGAGGAGACCCTCCAAAATGTGACAAAATAAGAGACAGGAGGATAAGTCACATTTTGAGAACATGGGTTGGTCCCGACTCAAACAAAATCTTTTCCTCTCCCTCTGCCTTAGGCTCCTCTCTGTCGTGTGTCTGTTCTGAGCCCACCCTGGTGTGGCGCGTCTCAGCCCCCATCTGTGTGGCACGCAGGACGGCGCACAGCCTCTCGGCCAGCAGGCTCGGTCCTGCAGGACGCTTGGGGGCAGCTTTCCCTAACTGGCAAAGACCTTTCCTGGTCATGGCTCTCCTCCTTGCAATCTGGCCTTGCTTTAGGGAATATTCTGGTGGGGAGGCGGAGCCAGCTCCCCTCCTGGGGGCGGACCCTCCCGGACACCAGCTGTGGCGTGCAGATGTGCCTAACTGTGGCATTGTTACCGCTTCAAAAAGGATTCGTTTCTGGGAGACCAGAGATCCTTACTTAGCCCTGGGTTTTGGCAAACGCTTATGTTGGAGCTGCTCGGTCAGTTGCCGCTCTAAGCCAAGGTGCCCCCTGCCCACCCTCCCACTTGAAAATTTGGGACAAAGAGCAAAGGCACAAAGAGCACCCACGTCAGGCTGCCGACCCAGACTGAGCTTTGGACACACAGATTTCCGACGGCTCACAGGGGCCTCGCGCTCTCACTTCCACCGGCACTGTGTCTGCTCTCCCAAAGCCAGCCACTGAGCCAAAAGGAAAAAGGAATCTGCTCTGGTCTCCAATCGCCCACCTCTTTCAGACCACAGCAGCCGGGGCTGTCTGATCTAGCCAGATATTTTGCTTCGAGTTTCCACCGCCTTTGCCAGTGTAGCCCCGGCCAGAGTGCAGGGACGCGGCCGCCCTTGTCTCGTGTGGCTCTAACCGTGCCGCCTACTTCTGTCTCGTGCAGCGTGAGCTCCTCCTGTCCAGGTTCCCGTGTTTTCGGTGCCAGCCCGAACATTAATGTTTTGGTCTACAATGGGATCCGTGTTTCTATATTTCCCTGTGATTGTGTTCCGTTTACATTGCGTTTGTGTGTGTGTGTGTGTTTTTGTTCCGCAGCTCAGTGAGCTCATTGTTGGCACTGCTGAGGGAATTGCAGCTCCTGACTTTTATATGCCTTGTCTTCCAGCTCATTTGCTTTCCTCGTGTGTTGAAAAGGCCCCTTTCTTTCTTTCTTTCCCCATCATCCGCTTTCTGTGCTCAATATCGCTCCTTCCTCCGCATCTCCTTTCTCCGAGAAACCCTTCTTACTTTTAATTCCCACCCGTCCCCTCTCGGGTTAAAATGGAACTTATCTCTCATGTCAAATGTTTTATCACATTATACCAAGTGGCATGAATCAGAATCAAATAATCTTCCTGTGTACATCTTCTAGCATGACCCGCACCCACTGAGAATGCCTCATACCTGCACTGAGCTCTCGGCGGGCCCTCCCCCTGTCTGCATGCTGCCTCTATGACAGGCCCGAGCCCAGAATGCCCAGGGGGATGGTCCCCCACCCCATAGGCATTGAAAACAGGCCGGCAGCACCCTCGGGTCTGCGGTTAGGCGTGTGGACACACTGCCCATCTCCACTGAATTAAATTCCAAACCACCCATTTCCCAGAAGCCTGTGGATTGTTCTTTTCAATGCCTAGGTTGCCTTTCCCCCCTTTGATCAGTATCTTCTGATTCTCACTTTTGTGTGGCCTTTGCGTGCGTGTGCGTGCGTGCGTGTTCCTGTGTGAGCGTGTATGCGAATAACCTCATGCTCTCGCAAAGTTTAAAACAACTGGCGCTGAATCTGATGTTTCATCTGCAGTTTCGCCTGCTGCTCCATTAGCAAATGCCCCGCGCTGCCCTCTCTTTGTTTAATGAGAAGGGCAAGGGGACGTTTTTTTAAGGCAGCCCTCTCAAAGGCAACCGGGCAGGTTGTCCTCTTCTGTGACCTCTTTAAAGGGAAAGTGCAGCTGAATTATTTGAAAAGTAAGAGTCCAGGCTTGGCTCGCACAGATGGCAAAAGCAGACTCGTCCGACTACTGAAGAACGCAGGCAAACTCAAGCCCTCGGGCCTTTCGTGTGAATGAATACTGAAAAGAAAAATGAATAATGAAAAACAAAAATGAATATGTTTTTCAGAAAGCAAATTATGTTTAAGGCGATGCGAAAATTCACAAATATTCCGGTCCCTTGGTGAATTCCACGCTGACCAGCGTGAAATGGCCTCAGCAACGTGGCGAGAACCCCCACAATTTAGTCTTGGATTGTGCCGGTTCTGTTTTCCTGAGGGTGTCTTAGTTCCAGCCCCCCGAGGATCACATTTTCCAGACTTCACCATCACAGTCATTCCCTGAACATCAGCAGCTTCTTTAGAGAGAAATCTCTTTGCCATTGACTTCCTTACTTTTCAAATAACCTGCTCCCCGAACTCCCAGAACATTGGGGCCAGGCAGCCTCACTGAGGAAGCGCAGAAAAGTTACTGACTCTGTCGTGGATTTGAAACATTTGTCGTTTAAAAAACCCAAGTTGCTCAAGAAGCTTCATTACCATGCCGTGTCGGTAATTTAATTCAGGACTTACTGTTTTTCTATAATCTAGCAGCAAAACATCAGATTACCAACATGTTTGATTATTTTCGGCTTCTGTTTCCTCAAGCATGGTGTTTATTTCTTTGCATATCTGCTCTGCAGGGCCCTGGTGTCCACCGAGCTGAGCAAGGGGACAGGAAGGGGAAGGCAGAGTCTGTGAAACCTGCCACCCTAAATTCCTGTAGCAGCGACCTGCCCTTGCCACTGCATTCCTCCCCTCGGGGGTCTTGGGGCAGGTTTCTAAACAATTGGCAGAAACCTATTGAGAAAAACGTCGATCTGAGAGGTTTCTCTTCCAAATTGTTGCCTTTTGACAAATGGCAAAAATGAATAATAGTCAATTAGCATTTTGAATGGGGGGGTGTCTATATCTCTGGGATTGTTTGCTGTTTGGGGGCTGTTGGTTCTGACTGTTGTGGCATTCTCTGGTGGTTAGTTCCTGCTGGCATCTGTCACTCCCAGGCACGTTCTCAGGGATCCTGTTGTGTTTTTAGCTGTGTTTCTAAGTCTTGGTTTTATTTACCTGATAAGTCCTTTACGTTCTTGCTATTTAGTATGAGCCCCCTCTTTGGCGTTTTGAGAGTGCCTTGTGGGGAAGGCTGGGTGGCATTGGTGTGGATTCATATTTGGACTAATAGCTGGTCATTGAATGCGTGCCTCTTCCGTGTCAGCCAGGCCTTCATTTCAGCGCTCTCTCGGAGCTGGTTTTCTCTCTGCCTCGTCATGTACTTTTGGCTAGAACTGGGTGCTTGTGGGGGATTATCGGCATAGCATTTGGGGCTCTATATTTGATGTTCTGCATTTTTATCTATTTTATTATGTAACGTAAGAACAGCTTTCTAAATTCATCTTCACCGTTTTTGTTTTTTTTTAAGCAGGCATTCTCTAGATTTATTGGAGAAATATATTCCAACATAACGTTGCCTAACCAGGTCTTTTTAATGCAGTGAAAGATTGCCTGTGTGTTAATATAATTGATTTACAGAGGCCTATAAAATACCATCAACTTTTTTGGTAATGCCCCTAACTGTCCAAAATTAAGTGCTGATTGGAAAAGAGCCCTCAGAAAGCTTCGCATAGTATTTCAGATATGCAGCTGTACATTTTTATCTGCGTTTTGTCTTTTTTTTTTTTTTTCTAAAAAATGACATGCAATTGTAAACTGGTTTTGGTTACTGCAAAGTAACAGTTTACAGAATTTTGAAACAAAGGCAAGAGAATATGTACAATAGCAATGAATTTAAATTTTATTAAAGATACTGAATTTTTAAAAGAGAATCAGATTGCTATCAGACTCAAGGGGAAGCCTGGCCTCCTTGAACATTATTGCTGACTTTTAAAGAAAATATAAAACATGGATATGAAATCATCTCCATCTTCCTACAGCAGCAAATGAGAAGGATCGCACAGCCCAAGAAATAAGTCAAAGGCAGCGATTTAAAAGCTCGAGTGTCCATAAATCATGCAGATGGCTCTCCCCCTTCTCTGGTGATTAATTCAACATCTTCCCCAAAACAGAAACATGCTTCTTGAAATTAGAGATCAGATCATCAAGAGAAGCACCTAAGATTTCAAGGTCTAAACAAAAATTAATTTCTTTTCTTTCCTCCTTGTACTTCTTGAAGACACAGACTGAGAAGAAAATCAGGATTAAAAGAGATTTTAATGCTTAGGGCGAATTCATCTGCTTAAACCTCCCAGGCTCGGAGATGAGTGATTAAAAGCCATCCGTACTTGGATGGGGTCCACACTGGGTAGCGCGAACCGCACTGGCTCCTGCACCGGGCCCGGAACATTTGCCTGGAGATGATACGTGGATTATATAGGTCAATTATACGCTTAATCTGCCTTCCGGAGGATTAGGTTTTCGCAGATTGACTCTGCGTTTGGCTTCTCCGTGGCAGTTACCAGATCAGGGAGGGGCACGCTTCATGGCCTGGTCTGTGCCGGGCGGGGTGCTGCCTGGGTCCTTTGCCTTGCACCGATTTCCACTTGCTGTTCCATTTTCAAATCGTAGATGTGTCCACTTTAGGTGTCAGCACAATCATTGAGTGTGAATATTTCCCTTTAAAGGGGCAATTGGAAAAATGAAACCTCTGCCTATTAAAATAGACAGGGTGGGGCAAAAGGAGATTTATAGTTGCGAGTACCCCAAACAGAGTTCATTCTTGTATTATTATTTATTCATTATTGTATTATTTTCCAGGCTAGCCACTGTAAACCTACTTGTGCCCCACCCTGGATTTGCTGTATTTGTGTGTGAAACCACAGATGACCTTATTTTAATAACCTTATTAAATCACAGAAGCGCTCTCCATGTGCACATACCAATCAAAGTAGGAGTCAGTCTGCTTGAGGGAGTGAGTACGGAGGAACAGGCTACAAGGAGAACATGTTATTAT